CACACATACTCACTCACTCACACACACTCACACACACACACACACACACACACACACACACACACACACACTCACACCTTTTTAATTCTAATAATGATCCATTCATCAATCAATCGATCGGCAAACCAATTAATCGATGTGAAGAAACATTGTACGTCTTGTTTTTAAAGTAATAGAAACTGACCAGAGGGCATACAAAAGAGTAACATTCTTCTTCTTCAGATTTTCTTTTTACTGAGATTCGATGTGATGTCCAAGTCAAGAAATAAACAGTGTCACAAACGTTGCCCACCATAATAAAAGCCTTCTTCACAGAAGTCGTGCACCATCCTCAACACATTTTTCAAACATGAAAATTAGACGCAATTTGGTTTCTATGCTTTCAGGATGGTTTCTAGCTTTTGTGACACTCTATATAAGTGAGCTGTGTTGTTGCATATTTTGAGATTATCGTCATCGTAGAAAAGAGATGAACCCAGTGAGCTTGTAGGGGAAATCCCACTCACAAAAGCCAGAAATGTTTGACACAATAATCCCTAAGCCAATCCCAGGTCAGGCGTTTTGGTAGAAGAAGAGGGAAACGTTTTTTTTTCTTCTGAAAACGAATATTTTAGATCCTCAACATTTTCAGGATATAGGTCAGGGGAACTGACAGACTGACATAGAAGGAGTAGAGCTCTTGCCCTAGACGATCGTAGATATGCATCCAGTACAGTACACAAATGTCCTATTTCGAAAGGGCAAACGAAAGGGAAAGGGGGGGGGGGCATACTGAGCCTACAACGCTTTTCTGCTGGGGTAAGAAAAATACTGCAGTTGTTCGTTCTTTTGTCAAAATGCTAGGACATAAATGGAGATGTAGTAAAATCATTATGAATGCCTTATCTGTATCTGTCTCTAACACCACACATGTGCCATCCTTCAGGGAGATGACAAACCGACAGAATTTACCATTAGACACATTTTAACAGAATGTCCAGACTTCGGAGAAACCCGAAGGAAATATTTTAAATGCAAAAAATTGCAAAATCTGTTCTCTTTCGTTGATCCCAACAGAATCCTCGATTTTATGAGGCCATTGGCCTTTGCAATAAATTGTAGATGGCGTTATTTTAAAAAAAAATGTAAATGATATTTTTTTTTTTACCGAGATTTTACCACTATTTTTTGACATTTTAATCGAAATATTGACCCAAATCAAGCCGTGCTATGAATTGTTGTGAATGCAATCAACTTGTGTTTCGAGTGCTCATATGACCTGCAGTTGCGAGCGCCGTAAATCTCTTACTAAACTAAACACGTGTGCCTGGTTATTTACATACTCTTCCCTGAATGTCAGCCAGACCTTAAAACGTTTACATTTTTGGATCTGATAATATTCAAAGAGAGAGAGAGAAAAAAAACAGAGAGAGAGAGAGAGAGAGAGAGAGAGAGAGAGAGAGAGAGAGAGAGAGAGAGAGAGAGAGAGAGAGAGAGGGAGAAAGAGAGAGAGGGCCTTACTTATGTCATTCTAAAATCGAAGTTTGCGTTGCCTGACCGCTAATGCAAACCAATAATGGCTGAGAGATTGGGTTCGAATGTGGACATGGATAAAGACCCCATATCCTCACAACTATATGTATGCTGAAGAATGTTTCCTCAAGCTCTGAACATGAATTTCAGGAGAATATATACAAACATGACGGGTAGGCAAAGATTGCTGTATTCCAGAAAGCACTGTCATCAGAAAAAAGAGAGATACCAAATTTCCCGTTATTGAGCAGGGGTAATCTCTACGCTCAGATAATAATTGTTTTTTGTTTGTTTGTTGTTATTGTTGTGTATCGTATACCTTTCTTTCGAAGGTTTAAACAAACTTCTTCCCAATTAACTCATTTTCAAGAACACATTCTTCTCGTTCACAATCTCAGACCACTGAAGGACACATATCACAAAGTTGCTATCTGCCCATTGCCAAAATCCCACTGCCAGCTGCAAAAGCTAAGGTAAATAAGTTGTAGCACCTTTCTCAAACACTTTCCGCCCTCCCTTCCTCCTTCTCCCTCTCCTCCCCCCCCCTCTCTCTCTCTCTCTCTCTCTCTCTCTCTCTCTCTCTCTCTCTCTCTCTCTCTCTCTCTCTCTCTCCTTTGTCTCTGAGAAGTAACATTACTTCTGAATCTTGTTCAACTCAACATCACAGATACAATGAAGAGGACAGAAGACGCAAGTGCAGACCCGTTGTTTTTCATGTCAGGTGTTTCTCGATATGGATTCAAGAAAGCTGCGTTCCTTTGTTGTGTAAGACGAGTAACAATGACTATTTCAAAGCGTTGTTACTAAATTAGAACAATTTACTTAGCATTATTCCCAATTTTTGAGTGTTGTTAACACTTGAAGAGCTTATATTCCATTTCTTACCGTTTTTCTCGTATAACAGGGGCCGATAACCACCCCGAAATGCTGATTGCACAATTGTCACTATTTATTTAGGACTTGTTGTCAGTTCTTGGTACCATTACGACTTATTTTCTTATATAACACCTGTAGTTTACTCTTGAACTCTAAATCATTTCCAAGTTATTCTCGAAAATTATTTCTACTCTTTTTTTCTTGGAAGGTTCTGTTGAGGATGGATTTCACGTCTTGATGAGGTACCCATGGCATCAGCTTGACTTTGGAAAACGCTTGCCTCACTTCAACAGCACGCTTTGCCACCGTTGAGACAGATAGCTGTTGTTGTTTAATTACTAGTCAGTGAGCAAAGGAACTGAAATGTGCGCGTTAAGTTGGCAAGTTGCAAGCTCATTTTTCAATCAATCTTCGAGAATAAAAAAGTCTCAATATTGACAATGTCCCTTTGCAAAAAAGGTATTCTGGTAGCTGTCTTCTGGAATGTTATACTGCTTTTGTCGTAAAGTGTGGGCCTGCACTTGAAGTATTCATTTACTAAACATTTGTCTCTTTCTGTATTTTGTATTTCCCTATGTACTGTATATTTGTATAGTTTGCAAGAACACAATACAAACACATGCAGTAGATCTAACTGCATGAGCCAGTGTTCTCACGTTTTGCATATATCCGCGCTGTTGTAAAAACAGTTTGATAGCTAGCAGCATAATTGGTTCTACCCCCTGGCTCCTGGTCCGGGCGGGGAGGGCGGGAAAAGGGCCTGCGGAGTTGCATCGGACGGACCCGAATATCATTGTGAGCACTGGTGCGGTCTGGAGTCTGGGCTAATGTGATTCGCACATGTAGCAGGCCACAGACCCGGCTTTGTCGGGCTCCTCTCGTCATCGGGAAAATGGCGTATTTTGTAATAATAGAAGAGTTTAAGTTCTGAGATATCCCTCTTTTGAGCCAGCCATTTGTTTAAAATTGCCTTTTCTGCATCACTAGGGATTTTATGCGCAGTATTTTGCTCTCGAAGAAACGTGTTCTCTGTGTATTCCTCTTAAGATAAACTGTAAACTTATGTATCATATTGTGTTTGATTCAAACACAATGAGTTCGATAGATTCTACATTACCTTTGTTGTGCATAATCTGCTGCTGAATTCTCACCCAGTTATCTAAAAAAGTCCGAATGTTCTTCATACGTAAAGATTTAACAGACTAAGTCAAGTACGTTTGTACTTTCATTACTTCGAGAGAAAAGAGCATATATTTGTACAGTCATTTTATTGGGGAGAAATATGAGAGCCAACAGCCAACCAGACTCTGTTTCCCCGAACCCTCTCCACTCACAAACAGAAGAAATCCCAACAAAACAACCAAACGTATCGAAAACAAAAGATAATAAAAACCTGAAGGAAAATGGGGTAATTCCACAGTCCATCTCACCCCCCCCCCCCCGTTGTAATACTATGTAACATTGTTAGTAACACGGCCTCTATTTTGGGTTCTAGACCTCGGATGGGTGGGTCTATTTGGGGCGCGTCAAAATAAGGGGGAGGGGTTGATGCACGAGTGGATGGTTGTGGTAAAAGGGAGGGAAGGGGGAGGCGAATTTGGCTTGTGAGCCACTTGGTTAGGGAATCAGGGTCGGGAAGGAAGGTGGTGGTGGGTGGGTGAGGGGGGGGGGGTTATGGGGTGATATGGTAGGAGTAGTAGCTGGCCATAGGGAGCCTGGGGCTACGCATGACGTGGTGTTTATCGCCTAGCCCGTCACGGCCACTTGGCAGCCAGAGTCTGTCGTGGGCCGCTGAGTGGAGAGTGCCGGCCGGGAGCTTTCTTGTAGGTTATTGCTGGGCCCCACACTACAGACGGAGACGTGAGTCCTTGTGTGTGCAACATGCGCGTGCTCAGAGCACAAGGCTAGAAGATTCGTTTACTTTAACCTTGGCGGATCTCTACGTGTGCATGGTGTTTTTGTGTGTTAGTATAATATTACATTTTCTCATAACCACAACGGATTACTCAGGAAAAAGAATAATAGTTGTTTAAGAAGGGGCAAAAAAGTTTGTATCCATGTTGATAAATTCTGCGGGTGATGTTTAAATGATATCGACAATACAGGAAAGAAAAACACCCCGGAAGAGGACAGGGTTAGAAAATAGACCTAGATATCTAGATGTAATTGTAACTCCAACAAACACTACCACATTTAACAACATTTTTCTAATTATTATATCTCCTCAAAATAAATTGATTAGTCCAGTCTGGACTTAACCCCCCCCCCCCCCTCCCCGGGTAATACCCTCCTTGTTTCAGCCGACTGCTACTATTTTTTAAGGAGTATCAAACATTCTTTAGCAAAACATTTCATGAAATAGAAATGACACTCTAGGATTTTGGCTGTGGAAAGCTTTTCTAATTTAGAGGTTGACTTATATTGTACCAGAGATAAGTTAAGACTGCCAAGATTACTGGAGATATCAACACATTCCCTTGCCTTATACGAATATATATATTTAAAAAAAAAAAAAAAATTTTTAAAGACGTTAGAGTGAACATGTCTATCATTGAGGTGTAATACGTTGCGAACTTAATTTATTCGAAGATCAAAGTTCAAATCTCATAGCTCTGAACTATTTCTAGAGTCATGGAATGGTTCCGAAGAGGGGACACAGCTTTGAAAATAACCTAAATGGCACTTATTATTCTATCTGCATGAAAGAGTTCTTATTTTAGCGCTCATATGACCTTATGCAGTTGCGAGCGCCGTAAAGCCTTCTACTATAAGAAAAATGAAAGAGTTCCCACTAACAAGGTCAACAAGTAACTTTGTTCATATAGAGAAATCAAATCTGCGTCACTTGATTGCCACTGTTTTTGTATAATTTGGAGTATTGCTTCAAATATTTACCCTACAAGTGGTCAAATAATAATAGATAGCATTTTCATAGCGCTAATTCCCACTCAACAGCAAGCTGTAGGCGCTTTACAATCTGTTTTATTATCCTGGCAGAACTGATAGCATTCTGAAACAATCTCAATTTCATGGGAAGCATACACTGCTCACTGCCATTTATAGGCGATAAAACACTACCATAGTAACAAGATATTTCGCTGCATATTATATTAGAATAGAATATTTAATTCATAGAAGCTTACATTCCAGTTTAACCTATTGTTTCCTTCACCACCCATGCCATTCGTATTGTAGCACCAGAAAGAAGTCGCCTAAAATTGTCTGATGATAGTGCAAGCTTTTGCTGTAACGTTAGAGGGCTTATATGAGGTTTGCATGTTTCTTTTCGTTTTAAGGGTAGGAGCAGGTTTTTGGGACGGGCATTTAACATATTGTTCCAGTCTCAAAGTCGTGAAAGTAAAATTTATTTTGCTGTTCGTTAAAAAAAAAAAGTGCACGAGTGCTCAGCTTGGGAATAACTTATATATTTTTTTTTACAACTTGTTTGCTTACTCTGATTTCTCAATACCCAAGGGGTGTTGAACAGTAAAAAAAATAATATTCCAGATTATTTTAGAAGGATTGCAATCATTTGTTTCTCATTGCTCGTATATTAGTTATCAAAGTTTTTGTCCTTAATATTAGTTTGGCCCAGTTTTCATATAGGGCTGCCTTTAGCGCTAAGTTGTTCGTGCTCCTCTTACGTGTAGGCTGTTTACTCTTTATGAAGAATGACAACATGCCCTCCATCCTAACACCCCTGACTTTCAACATGTGTGTTGTCTCGTTTCTTTACAGCTTTGTGTTGATACGGACATAACTTTGAAGGGACCTGCATCGGGTAGATGGGTTGGGTGTTGCTGGAAGTGTAGGGAGTGTGTGAGAAAATCTGGCTGAACTCTACCTTGAACATTCCACGTAGAAGTCACAATGGACTTCAAACTGGCGTCTGCTTGTTTGTCGCTGGTTGTATTCACAGTACTTTCACTAGGGATGACGGGTAAGTGCTCACTTTATTACATATTATGGCATTATACATAACTGTAACCTCAACATTGTGGAGCAGCTTCTTTTACTCTAAACTGTAAAGTAAATATCTTTGCAAAGAGCTTGCTTTATTCTTAACCACATAAAGTAGTCAGGGCTGCACATTTTATAAAACAAAAAATAAAAGAAAGAATAATGAAATTAAGTTCGATTTGGAATGAAAAATTAATTAAAAGTGTTGTAGATACTGCAAAGCGGTTTCAGTCATCCTTTTTTCACTCTCCCTCTGTCCGACCCCCACCCCTCCCCCCACACACACACTTTTCACATTACCTATTGAGTTTTACACTGTTTGTCACTTGAAACATTTATCAAATGATCTTTCTACGCGCTGTGCAGCCGAAGTGAAAGACGTGCAGGAGGCGTTTACCAACAACGATGAGGTATTCCTGGTGGGGAACGTGCGCACCCCGCGTAACACCCGACGCAAGTTTGTCATGGTTCAGGCACAGAGCCCTTCTGCTCGCGGCCGCTTTGAAGTGTCCGTCGATTTCCGGCAACCACAGGGTGGGTAGTTTTTGACCATGTAGAATATTATTGTTAGTGCCCTCTTCTATGACTGGTCATTGGTTTGTTTATGACGTTTTCACAGAATAAGAATAAAGACAGCAAGAGCATAGATTGTGGGTTTTTTTTCGGTTTCCTGCAACTGCAGTATTGAATAAAACGGGTACTGGACGAAAGCAGAAGCGAATAGCATCTCTCTCTCTCTCTCTTTTTCTCTCTGTCTCTGTCTCTCTCTTCTCCCCATATATTATATGTAAAATATATACACATGCATATATATATATATATATATATATACATATATATATATATATATATTATATATATATATATATATATATATATATATATATATATACAATAATATACATATAATTTTTTTCTTTAAAAATATGTATAATTCGTGTGAATATAATTTAAAAATGTATAGCTAATAGATTTTTTTTAAATGTGAAAAATCGTTAATCTAAATTCTACACACTCCCATAGCTGAATAAAATACCAATGAAACTTGGTGTTTACTATTGTGTATCCCTTTACCCATATACATTTGGCCTCACTGCGTAGTAGTCCAGGGGTTCGGCTACAGGACTCACTATCGATCGTGCTATGACGAGATCGGGGGCTCGAGGCTTAGCTCGGTACGATGTTGTGTCCTTGGGAAAGGCACTTTACACGAATTTTTCCATTTACTCAGGTCGTATTGGAGATTGACGTTATATGCATATTATTATATCTCGACTCTTAAACTCCTAAGTAGGCTTACAGTGTTGCAAGGGACGTCAAAGACATGGAATTTCGAAATTCTTAATTTTTATTCAACCTCAGGTGGTTCACTACACTTTAAATGCTTTGAAAGATAGACCTATCAATATAGAAATTATTTGTCCAAAATGAATATCATGAGTCTTTCCATCATTGATTTACAAAGCCAATCTGTATCTATCTCTGAGGGAGAAATGCGTCATGGTCGTTTAACTCACTTGGCCCTGAGTTATTTTTCACCCAACAATCATTGAAGTTTGGGGTATATTGAATTGTTAACCATAAAAAGATTGTGAAAGCTATCATGATGAAATAAATACATCAAGAGAAAAAAGAAATGTTCTCAAAAAGAAAACTGCTTCTAATTTGTCCAAATAGTTTTTATTTTATCAATCTTTTAAAATGGCCATGTCTGGGCGTTATGCCATTTTTTGCTCCCAATTTGTACTAAAACCATGTAACAAAAAATAACTGGCCTACATGGAGTGTTCATGTTACTTCTTCTATGTGTTACAGAACCTTTTCTGAGTAACGCAGAAACCACATACAATTACAAGCAGTTAAATGTTAAAGGTGTTCTTAAGGCTAGGAGCACTCACGCATACACACAGCAAGACAGGAAAATAAATTCGTTAACAAGCAAGTTTCTCTTTACATCCCCATTTTATGACTACACAGTCATCGTGACCTTGACTGACCAGGATGGGCGTAGGTACCAGTTGGGTTTCCCAACCCGAGCCCTCCACACCGGGAAACGCACGCGCCTTCTACTGGTATTCTCCAACCTGAGCCAGCCTTACAACAGTGTTAGCCTCTTTGTCGACTGCATGGACATGGGTGTGGATCAGACAGAGATTCCTCTACGAAGGATCTTCGCCAATGATGACATGAAAATGGTGGGTACTGGGGATATAGCTGTGGATATCACTTGATCCAAAAGTTGTGGGCGCTTGATGTTAACACACGTTGTGATCTTAAGATTAGATAGGAAAATAATAAGTAAGATGTGTTTTGTGGATTTTTCATAGGCAGAAATAAACGGGATGCTTTCCCCAGCCTCCGTGACTCGACTTGCATTTAATGATAGCATCGAATCAATACTTCACCATCTCTTTCTCACTTTCTGTCTACCTCTATTTCTGTCGCTCTCTCTGTCTCTCTTTGTTTCTTTTTATCTCTCACTATCTCTCTCTCTCTCTCTCTCTGTCTCTATCAGTATGTCCGCTTGTCTCTGAACACCTCTCTGTTTCTGAGTGTCTGTCTGTCTGCGATCTGTGTCAAGTGTCTGTGTCCCACTTCACTGGGTTTTCATGCAAGGTTAGAAACCCGCCTACTTAATCGTACCGACGGGGGCATAAAAGCATCTATATTAGACATAATAATTTGGTTTTCTCCATGTTAAATAGCGCATGACGACAGCCTTCAAGTGGCACGCCGGGGTCCCCGTGAAAGAGGTTCTCAAAACGATGGGTTGTCCGGACGGCAGCATCAAGGTAGAAGCTACAACCGTTCCTCCCACCATCGAGGTGCCCAACTGGTCTACCGGGGGTCTCATCGCTGCCCGTCGACCCCTAGTCGATAACCGTAGACCTCTAGTCGACAGGCGCCCTCAAGTGGGCACGGACAGGATTTCAGTGGACAGGGGTCAGCCTACAACCGGCAGAGACCGCACGGATAGTAGGGTGCCGCTTGTACGTCCTGGTATCACGCCAGCTCCCCGCCAAGATCGGGTTCAGCCAAAGCCAGGCATTCGACCTACCCCATCTACTTCTGCTAGAGACCGTGCAGGGAATGGTGAGTGGAGCGAGAAGTCGTGTTCAGCTCGCAGTGTCATTTGGTGTAATACTGTACTTGCGCACTTAATGAAGCCAAAGTCGTCTGTGTGTTATTAAGACGTATGTGAATGAAACCTACACAGTAATAAAACATTAGGTGTGAAGTGGAATTCTCTCTTCTCTCTCTCTCTCTCTCTCTCTCTCTCTCTCTCTCTCTCTCTCTCTCTGTCTCTCTTACTCTCTCTCTCTCTCCCTTTCTTTCTTTCTCTCTATCTCTTTCTTTCTCTCCCCCCTCTCTCTCCTTCTCTCCCTCTCTTTCTCTCTCTCTCTCCCCCCGCCCACCTGTATCAAATATTTCTTTCCTTCTGTCTGCATTTTCATGATACTGAACCAATTGAGGAAGTAAGTTTAACCACGTGTCATAACGATCGTTGTTAGTTTAAAGCTACAATAAAGCAATTCGATGTTTCACTCTGCTTAAAACAGAAAATGTCATTTTAAATTTTTATTTTTTTAAAGATAGTTTAAAAAACAACAACCAAGCAGCAATGCATTGTTCACCAAAACTTATAACTTGTTTGCAGACAATCAATGAATATATAGGAATAAATGTTCCGTAGCTTTTAGCTGCTATTGTATTTTACCCAGGATAAAAACTGCTGCTTGCAAGACTATGTCACGTAAATTTAATACAGATTAGTAATTTTTTTAAATTGTTAAAATGATATGAATAAGATTTATCGCGACGAGGAGTACCTTGGAACCCCCCCCCCCCCTCCCCCAATTAAATCAGAATTAAATCATGCCTTGATAAATAAAATTAAGGGGGGGGGGAATAACCGCAAGGCTTATTATAAAGCTATTCTTTAAGGCCCATCCGTGTTCCCCAGAGCGCCCCTCATACTCAATGGCTGACGTGGCGCTCCGTGAGTTGACCCGAGCAGTCATGGAGATGAGGCAACAGCTGCAGTCTCAGGTGAGCACGAAGATCATGCCAATGTACTTATTGAATTTTCATTTTCATTTTCAATATTTATAAAGCTGTCTCTTTCGTTAAGAGGATGTAACAGTAAATTATTATAAACATTATCAGTTCGTCACAAGAATAATTCAGTAAGGTTTTTCTTCTTCTTATTCATCATTTTTATCTTTTAAATAATATTATTGTTATTGTTGCTGCTGTTATTGATGATCTTACTATTATTTCTATAATACTAATATTATTATTATTACTGTCATTATCATTGCTGTTATCATTACCATTATAATTATCAATTTATTACTATTACTATTGTTTCCTTGTACCTTCAGCATTATCATGATTTATGTTGTTGTATTAGTATCATTAGTATCAAATAATTATAATTATTTCTCCCCTTTTTCTTCCCCTTCTCTTCTCATTCATTCTTTTACTCACTTATTCCATCGCTGCCACACATTATGCGCTGTAAATTTATTCACAAGTTGAGAGTAAGCACAGCTGCTTATCAATGGCTTAAAATGTAAAGAAGAATAAATAAAGCTGTTAAGGTTGCAAAATATTTATCTGCTAAACTTGGATGAATTAATATTCTCTCATATCATTACAGACCCAAGAAACGAGGGCCCTGAGGGAAGTCATGGCGTCATGCCATATGTGCAGAAACCGTAAGATTTTGCACTTTTTTCGGGGCGTCATCTTCTACATGGGTTCATCGTCTTCCTTTTTCATTTATTGTCACGCTCTGCTTTGCTCTGAAAGGCAACATCTTTAATCTTTTCTATTTTGTTTCGTTTCTCATTTCTCTCTGTCGTTATTTTGCTGTTTGCTGTACCTTCCTATGGTCTTCATCTTTGCTAGATCGATAGATCGATAGACCGATAGATCGATAAATAGATAGATCGATAGATCGATAGATAGATAGATAGATAGATAGATAGATAGACAGATAGATAGATAGATAGATAGATAGATCGATAGACAGATAGATAGATAGATACATAAACAGAACAAGAGAGGGACAGACAGACAGACAGACAGACAGACAAACAGACAGACAGACAGACAGACAGACAGACAGACAGAAATGGGAGTTTCCTCTATCCTCAAGACGTTTTTATAATAGTCACAATTGAAGTTTCACACTTTTTTAAAACCAAGAAGCAATGCATAGTTCACCAAAACTTATAACTTGTTTGCAGACAATCAATAAATATATTTATGGTCGACCTAATCAACAATGTTTCCCGCCTTCCCCAGCCAACACCCAGCGACCCCAGAGAACTCGCTGCTCCTCCCACCCGTGCTTCCCCGGGGTGCGCTGCGTGGACACGGAGGACGGTTTCCGGTGTGGGGCCTGTCCAGTCGGCTACTCCGGGAATGGTATCGAGTGCCGGAGACACACGACCTGCTCGGACAGACCTTGCTTCCGAGGTAACTTACTCCTCCTCCTCCTCCTCCTCCTCCTCCTCCTCCTCCTCCTCCTCCTCCTCATCATCATCATCATCATCATCATCATCATCATCATCATCATCATCATCATCATATTCTCTCTGTCTGTCTGTCTGTCTGTCTGTCTGTCTGTCTGTCTGTCTGTCTGTCTGTCTGTCTGTCTGTCTGTCTGTCTGTCTGTCTGTCTGTCTCTGGTGTATTGGCCTCTATGTACTTATAGCCTGGTCTAGATTCCGCGTATGTGCGCAGCAGACATTGCTTGTTACAAGTCATAGATTCTAGATGTATGACGGCCACCTTCAGATTGAAACAATGCAGACAATTTTGGAGGCAGGATGTTTCGACTTTACCTATCAGGGCCATCTTGGGGTGACTGAGATACAGCTTCCCATCAAAATGATGGAGAGAGACTTTTCACAAAATATTTGTCCACACAGAAATACAACCCTCATCTTTTTGTGGGCATACGCAAAAATTCAGTGTTATGTGAAAAAAATATATAAATAATTATGGTTTTTTTTCTTTTGCTCTTTCGCCTACAACCAATGGTTGGTCCGCTTGTTGTATTGACAGGGTTATTTTTTGGCATTTTCATTGCTCATGGCAAGCTTCTCTCTACCAACTAGGTAGGCCTACGTTCCCATTGATGCAGAAGATTCTGTCTTGTAAATATCATTAGACAGAGGGGGGTATTACACCCATACCAATTTTGCCATAATAATCATTATCTATTTCCAGCAAAAGCAAAGAGTTTTTGTTCTCTGCAAAATAGAAATACATCCTCTCTCAAATGACCCGTGTTGTCACACAGACCGTTTTCAATCAATTACCGATATTGTTTAAAAAGGATAAAAAAGCGTGAGTTTGGAGAGCTTCACTTGCGGATCTTAATTCTGTCTTTTCCCTCTGTTTTTCCTGTCAGTCTGTCTGTCTGTCTGTCTGTCTGTCTGTCTGTCTGTCTGTCTGTCTGCCCGTCTGTCTGTCTGTCTATCTATCTGTCTGTCTGTCTGCCTGTCTGTCTTTCTGTCTGTCTGTCTATTTTGACCGTAGCTCAAACTAAAACCCAAAAGAATCTACAACCAAAGTTTTCGGACTTGTGATCTTGCGCAGGCGTGCGGTGTCAGGACACAGAGCGAGGCTACCGCTGCGGTCCCTGCCCGCCAGGTTACGTGGGCGACGGCTCACGGTCCGGCTGCCAGCCAGAGCGGATCACGTGTGCCAGCCGGCCTTGCTTCCCTGGAGTGGTCTGTGAGGACACCAACAACGGCTTCACGTGCGGTGCGTGTCCAACTGGCTACACCGGGAACGGAACCTACTGCGAGGATCTCAATGAGGTGCGTGGCGTGTTCATGCTTTCTTTCTTCTACTCTCTGACCGCTGGACGAGTAACGTCTTTCAAACCTGGCGTCTGAAGATACTCGTCCTTCGCAGGTCAAGATGACCTTGACTTCGTATCAAAGAGGAGGTATGGGGTGGGGGTATATGTAAAGATGGCTAATTAAGCCAATCTTATATCCGGATATGTCTGTTGCAGAACGATTGGGTCTGTAAGATTGAACCAGGCTTGGAGATGAAGCTCTCTCAGTCTTTTCTCAGCTAACCCGTCTATGTATTGGGCTAGATCACTGACAATGAAGCTTGTTCGTCTCCCAAGTCGGATAGTCCCGGCACGACTCAGGAGAGAGACAGCTCCGAATCCACTCACTGAAGGTGTTGGTCACCTTAGATGATTTGGAGATCTTCTTAACGTGGATGCAATAACCATACCAGCCACAGTGTGCTGGCAAGGGAAGACTGAGACTGGTAATTTTTGGGACAACTTTTTCTAGTCACTTTCACAGACTGCAATCGGAAGAAGTTATGTACTGTTAAAGACTGCTTCGTCACCCAGGTGATTACTGAATTCATTCATTGAAAAGCGGCCATATGGCCTGGACTACTAATAGATACATTTTTACTATGACTGCCAGGGTGTCCACACATGTTATTTGGGCTCTCAATCATCACAAAAGATAGGATGAGGGTGCTAGTAAATTGACAGAGACAAGGTCATGACTTGTTTTTCTAATTAAATAAAAATATGGAAGACTTGTTCAAGATCATCAACCCCAGTCTCTTGTCCTAGTCCATTTAGATTATGTTGCACGACAAAGTTGAGACAGCTAGAGACAGGCCGGGATGCAGCGGATGGCTAGCAGTGTCTTTCCTGTCTCACAGTGCTCTAGTCGCGCACCACGGCTCTCTTCCGGGACTACTTTTATGCCAGTTGAACCAGTCCAGTGGTTTCGTCCGCACAGTCTGCCGGAGCCTATCTTCACATGCATTGGTAGAAAGACTGTACTTTACGGCCAGATATGTCTACCGTCATTTAGAATCACAGGTTGTTATATATGATGGTGATATTTGTTCACGTTTTTTCCCCTCCACACTTATCTGTGTCGAAAGCAGACAACATTCCTTCCCCTACCTTAATTAATAATCACCCACACACATCTTTGTTCCCCTCAAACCTACTTTACTTTGCCTTATCCATATATCCTGAGTGAATTCGACATTTCATGAATGTTTACTAACTCTACATGTGCACCATTTTCTTTCCTATCCATCCGTGTCCAGTGCCAACTGAGCCGGCCATGTGACCGCCTGGCCACGTGCGAGAACCTCACTCCTGGCTTCACGTGCAGCGCGTGTCCTCCTGGATACTCGAGCCCTCCAGTCCAAGGATTGGGCATCGAGGTCGCACAGAGAGTCAAGCAGGTCAGTGTTTTTTCATGAACAGAGGGATTCTAGGAATGCAAAGTGCGAAAAAAAGAGAAGAGTTTAAGTCTGCCACGACAAAATTCGACTTTTTGGAAACATCTAATGATGGATCTCACAAGTTCTTTATGGTACCGCTACCACTCTTTAGATAGACGGTATTGTTGTTACATCCCCTACTTTAGTTTTATAGCAAAAGAACAATAAGAGTCTGATGTCGCATTTTGAAAATATCATACGGTGGTTATCAAATCAAAGATCAGTTTATGCCCAACATGTGATTGAAAACAAAATCAATCTAGCTGCTTTTCTTCCATCATAGCGGAAGTCATTTGAAATGAGAGAATCAGAAGCATATACATGTAGTTATGAGAACAAGATTGAAGAGGCTATGTTTGATATCTCAATTCAGTTGAGTGTGGCACTGGACGCATCTTGTCAGTAGCACAACACTTTTGTCCTCTGCTGTCAAGTTTGAGAGGTTTATCAAAAGAAAACTGCAAAAAATGAATAGATAAGAATGCCTTATACCAACACAGTTGCTTCATTATTTATTTTCCTTGCGTTTAAGAGTGTTTAGGTCAGTATGCAAGGTGAAGGTGCGCATGTCGTTTCTGAGCATGTGCATACTGATATGGATGTCTACGCATGTGTTTTAAAGCGAGCATGTGGTATTGAGAGGTGGAAATCAAAACAAGTAAAAAGGGGTTGAGCGGAGGTAAAAGCTAAGTATGTTCATAGATTGTCCATGGTGTAATCTTTTCTCCTCAGTTCCTTCAAATGTTTAGCAGCTCTCAAATTGTTCAAAAGTTTGCAAATCGCAACTTATGGGCTTTTGAATTTTGCTTGTGTATGCAAACAACAATTTCTTGATAATTCAGAACAATGAATGAATGCACTGCACTTCTTTTCTTAAGACCGCCCACAATACAAATGGAACGTGACTTATTAAACAGTTTCTACAGGGAAATTACCTTAATTTTGTAGGGTATATACAATCCCTCTTTTCTTCTGACAGGTGTGCACTGACATCAACGAATGTGAAGATGGACAAAATGGTGGCTGTGTAGAGAATTCCGTGTGCATTAACACACCGGTAAGTGCTACCCAACTGTTGAACTAAAACCGCAAGAAATACCCCCCCTCCCCAACCATCCCCACAATCTGTAAAGAAAATAACCAGTTGTAGAATTTATTTCAAGAGATAATAATGCCAACAACAAGAACAAGGACCGGAGCGAATAAAAAAAAGACTTCAGCTAAATTGACTTAAGCGAAAATTATAAAAGTTATCTGCGTTTTTGGGGGCACCAGTGTTTTTCTCGACAGGTAGGTAATGCAATTTGGATTTATAACAGCGTTTCTCAATGCTTTATTTACCGAGGAGAATGAATTCCCCTCTTCAAAAACGAGCCCCTTCCCTTGTAATCACACCCCCTCCCCCTAAGAAAAAAAATTAAACACCGTTCTTATGTTAAGGGATCATATCTACCTGTGATGAATCCAATATGTGTCTTTAGGGTGATACATTTACACAACCAAAACACATTTTCATAAGGAAAAACTTACACACCGTTTTCAAGGCTAAATAAGTAAAAGGAAACATTTGTTTTAAGTTTTATCAAATCTGTATGTATAAAACCTGCAGGGATCCCGTGTTTGCGGAGCGTGCATTGAAGGCTACACCGGAGACCAGGAAACAGGCTGTAGACCCGCGGCCAACACATGTCCTGACGGGACTCAGTGCAACGTCAACGCCAAGTGCACCCGTAGACGAGGATTCAAGGGGTTCTTGTGTCAGGTGAAGACGGTGAAATGGTATAGGTTTAAGCGCCTTATCAACACTATTAGGCCGGTCGCCCGAGTTCAACGTCCGTCTCCGAAAGGGCGGGGCCAAAAGGGAAATTCATGAAAAGTGCCTTTCCCATGGACGGAATGTCGGACCGAGCTGAGGTTCGAACCTCCGAACCCACGATTTCATGATTACGGGTCCGGTAGCCTAATACGGGTTGCCCACTACTGTTGGGATCGGCGGATCGGGCCGAGGGCATGACACGGTCACCTAAAAATCAAACGTGTTTGTTTTCAGTATCAGGCGACCGAGTCGGGCGGTCGGCCAGATCCAGCCGTAATGGGCACCCCGTATAACTACTAAGCTACCGACACCACGGTATCAGGTGAGCTATCGATTCTCCAAGAGACCCAAAATGTTCATGTATTGAGACTTTCCAAGGCTTTCCTACAACAGTTTTAATTATTGTGTCCGATCAGGTGGCGCTGACACTTGTCCGACTCAGAACGGAGTTTCATGATGAAGCTGGAAATTTTGTCAGATGAGAGATGAGCTCACCATTTTAATTAACCTCCAGGGACCGTATGTGCCATATTTGGCACATCAGATTAAAATAATGTAATCGGAAAATAATTAGCCTCGATTGACCAAAATTCTGACTTTTTATATCAGACTATAGTATGCTGTCTATCTTTTAGATATCATATTTCCACTTGCAATTTCAAATTTCATTATTTTTTTAAACATTGTAATCAACCTCCGGATCTAGAGGTTTAAGCACCTTTTCGACTCGCAGGGTACGCGTTCTTTAGAGCATCAAACTGGTTAGTGGAAGTTATTAAACATAATTCGGAATAAACGTTGATATCGAGTCACTGTGAAAAGGATCTCGGACATGGGTTCGAATCCCATCACGGGCTCGATGTCGTGTCCTTAGGAAAGACACTTTACACGAATTTTCTATACTTCACCCATGTGAGAATGGATACTCAGCTATAGGCAACGGAAAACTTTGTTAGTTTGTTAGTGTTTGAGCGCTTAATCAGCGGCTTCCACTGTATGCTTCTTGGGAAGCCAAGAATGTTTCTGAGTGTTCTAGGGTTTGCTTACGTAGTAATGTAGATTATAAAGCGCATAGAGATTACCGAGAGGCGGTGATATGCACTGTACAAACGCTATTTATTATTATTATTATTATATTATTATTATTATTATTATTATTATTATTATTATTATTATTATTATTATTATTATTATTATTATTATTATTACCACTGTCACTATATTACTATCATTATCATTATCATTATCATAATAATAATAATAATAATAATAATAATAATATTATTATTATTATTATTATTATTATTATTATTATTATTATTATTATTATTATTACTATTGCTATTACTAATATTATTATGAAAATGATAGTATAATCGAATATAGCTTCCAAGCATTTTGTTCTCATGAACAGTGTAAAAGATTAAAAGATAGATAAAAAGTTAGATAGATAGGTCTCAATTTTTCCTCACTCTTCAGATTTACTCCCCAGTGTTCTATCGGCTATGCTGGTGACGGTGAGATGTGTACCAGAGACACTGACCTGGACGGACTGCCAGACCTGGAACTTCCCTGTGAGGACCGGCGCTGTAGACAGGTAGGTCAAAGTGAAAGAGACATTGCAGTGACCAGTCGCTATCTTAGAATGACAAAGTTCCATCTGCTCAGAACATTGTTTTGAGAAATCTGACGTCAACATTTTGAGTTTCACAACAAGGTCAAATTTTTTCGAATGCAATTCCTAGGTTATCTTTTTTTACGACTTCGAATAATCTTACGATTTTGATAGAACAAATAGTTTCCGACCTCATGCTCTTAGTAACTCAAAAAGGCCTAAAATGAAAAAAAATGTCATATAGAACTTTGTAATTTTAAAGTGGCAAATAGTAACAAGCGAATGCATCCTTCAGGAGAAAAAGACACCGAGCGTAATCAAAATCAATGGTCATGGAATATGAAAGAGGGGGTCATTTAGATTTTTAAAAAGTGAGCGAGTGACAGAGTGAATGAGTGAGTGAGGGAGAGAGTGAATGAGTGATGCATGAGTGAGTGAGTGAGTGAGAGAGAGAGAAAGAGAGAGAGAGAGAGAGAGAGAGAGAGAGAGAGAGAGAGATAGAGAGAAAGCGAGTGATTATGTGAATGAATGTTTTTCTGTGTACGTGAGTGTGTATGTGTGTGTGTGTGTGTGTGTGTGTGTGTGTGTGTGTGTGTGTGTGTGTGTGTGTTTGTGTGTGTGTGTGTGTATGTGCGCGCGCGCTTGTGTGTATTTGTATTTGTAATATGCGTGTTTGTATATTTGTTTTAATGTGTACGTCGCTGTTACTGTGTAGTTGTGGGAATGTACTCTCCCATTTGTTTGTATAATTATTATGAAGCATGTTTACTTAGCGTTTGTCTGTCCACTCAAATTACACCCTGTACTCGCTAGAAATATCTCAAGCGGATTTTAAAAAATGTTTAACTTGATAAAATCTGATCTTCTCTGATCTTCCCTTCACTCCCAGGACAACTGCGTGAGAGTGCCAAACAGTGGTCAGGAGGACGCGGACGGGGATGGCTTAGGAGATGCCTGTGATGACGATATGGACAATGACGGTATTGTGAACAATCCCGTGAGTAGACCCCTTTTCGTCTCAAGTTTCAGAAACATCCGTGTCCCCTCTCCCCCACCTTCTCCCCCCTCCACCCTTTCACATCCATCCTCTCTGTCAAGTGATAACCGTCGGTGCATTTCCAGTTCAAAAGGAGTCTATAACTTGATACTAAATACTTCACTTCTCCCACGGACATTGATTTTAAGGAAACATGCAAAAAGCACTCTTCTCTCTCTCTCTCTCTCTCTCTCTCTCTCTCTCTCTCTCTCTCTCTCTCTCTCTCTCTCTCTCCCTCTCTCTCTCTTTCTCCACTCACTCTCTCTCTCTCTCTCTCTCTCTCTCTCTCTCTCTCTCTCTCTCTCCGTCCCCTCATCCCCACTGTTCTCTGCATTCTTTCATAGCATCGTTCAGTTTTAGGCTTATTCTTTTCGGAATGAGTCCTTCCATTCCTTCTTCTGACTGCCTCTCCTCCCCCCTCCTCGTACTTGGCCCCGTCTGATTGTCTTTGCAAGCCTTTCTCACCATAACCATATCGCTCGTCACTTACTTTTGTGTTGATCCACAGGAGTCAGGACGTCTCCCTACCAACCATTTGCTCACCCGATCTTTATTTTCACATCTTACTAGTTTTTTCCAAGTAATATCGAGTAGTTTCCTAAGAATCTTATTTTACAGGCACATAGCCTCTAACCGACACAGCCTAACAAACGCATTAAGAGAAACTTAAATTTTAATACATGTATGTGGACTTTTTGTGAAATTTAGATTCCAAGCCAAGTTGAAGCATTCTGGTCCCAAAGTTTCTTTCTTATGTAAATCACTTGGTTTAAACTTAAGGTCATCTCCAGTTTTCTTCTTTTTGTAGACATTGGCATCATATACGCTTAAGTAAAATAAATAAAAAGCACAGCAACACAGCTAAAATATCCAGGTTTTGAACCTACTCTGTTTCTACGATCGCAAAATCCTAGCTTTACATTCGTCACAAAGACTTCAATTTGGCCCATAATATTGGCTGATCATTCATGATTAATTTTTTTAAAAATCGAGCTCAAAGGAGGAGCTCTGCCTTTTCGATATCTTTGCGGATTGTAGGCTATGTATCAACAATAACGCTGAAATAGAGCTAGTAGTTGCAACTTTTAGTAAACATCACGAGTGAATCTTGTTGAAAACATAGCACAAATTAAAAGCCGTTTCTGTTTTTTTTTCACTCATGAATTGTTAATGAAAACAGAAAACTAAAATAGTTTTCTTCTGCCTTTTAGGACAACTGTCCCCTGGTCTCGAACCCTGACCAAGTGGACACAGAGCGAGACCCAGACAAACGAGGAGACGCATGCGACAACTGCCCAACGGTACCTAACCCTGACCAGACCGACACGGATTTGGACGGAGAGGGAGATATTTGTGACCCCGACAAGGACAATGATGGTATGACGACTTCTGTGGGGTTTTTTCTTTTTCCTCTCATGATTAGGTTTCTCTGTGTTGTGTATATACATCTGCAAATGTGGATCAAAACAGCGTTTTGGTTTCAGTAGTACGCGAACTTCTTCCTCTGTGTCTCTTTCACTTCTACCTGGAGCTGAAATAATTACTCACAACACTGAAATAATGGTGGGCTTTTTCTTATAGTGAGAGTACTTCCATTTTCTGTATACGCTTCTTGCAGCTATTAATTATTTTAGTAGGTGAATATTCCTTCCGTTTCAGGACCGCTACTATATTGTTACGTGGCCCTTCATTTGTGTTAGCCAATTAAAAAAATCCAATCAACCAAACAAAAACAAAAAACAAAACAAAACAAAACAACCCCCCTAAAAAAACAAACAAAAAAACCCCAACAACAAACAAAAACAAACCCAAACCCACAACGTTTCGGACATGTTCACAATCACATTCAACGCACGGTGTCCTCTGTATAAAAACTCTGCAACACATATTCATAATACTTTGGTTTTACTGTATATTATGCAACCCAGTGCACGCAATACTCCAATTCATGACTTGGCTTCTGCTACAGTATAAAGCAGGCATACTTAATTATTTACCCAAAACATGCGCATCTGTTCTAAAAAGTGAAAAGGATAAAAAGTATGTATAAATTCTATAGCAAAGTTTCTAACAAATACAGGTTCTTTTCTGCAGGAAAATCCCCATTATACTACATAATGTACCCACAGGAGGCATACACTTTAATGGGCAGACAAAACTATACTGAAGCAAACGTTGTAATCCTCTGTGCTAGGTATTCCAAACAGACAGGATAACTGTGAACTGGTTCCGAACCCGGACCAAAAGGACACCGATAACGATGATGTTGGAGACGCCTGTGATAACTGCATAACCGTTCCCAACCCAGATCAGGTCTGTTAATTTAACCCCTACTTTGTTATATTCTTGCTCTATTTTCGTTGGGAGCATTAGAGGTCGAATGTGGAGTACTTGATTCACGAAACTGTAAACTGTCTTGCTATTTCAAGCGACAACGTTTTTCAAAATGGCTGCTTTCTGTCATATATCTAAAACACGGTAGAGCAAATTGTAAGTAGTTGCACTGAGGCGTTCAGTGGTCTTTAAACAAAATAACAAATGAAATCTTTTTGTTTATTTGTTGTTTCCTTCATATAAATTATGTGGATTTTCATTTTTTCACACCTGCTTTTGTACGTGCAAGTGCAAGAAACGTTCGAAAATGTAAGGATGAATTTCAAGTGCTTTCACATTGACCCTTTTGATTTTTCAAAGAGTAAACAAAAGTAAAGAACGCGACATATTTACAGCTAAACATTGTTTCAATAAGGAACCGAGGGCTCCATGTACACCAGTTTTGTTCATGAGATATGCAATCTTAGGTTAGTGTCCTGACAGGGGACCAATTTGGCCAAAGCGGAAATACTCAACATTGCATCAAATATAGGATCTCCCCTCGACAAGAAGAAGAAGAAGAAGAAGAAGAAGAAGAAGAAGAAGAAGAAGAAGAAGAAGAAGAAGAAGAAGAAGAACAAGAACAAGAACAAGAACAAAAAGAAGAAGAAGAACAAGAAGAAGAAGAAGAAGCAACAATAACAACAATAAAACAACAACAACAACAATAACAGCAACAACAACAATAACCGACTTAAAGTACCTTGCTGCTCTTGTAAATTTCACCTGTTCTTTCTTCAACAACAGAAAGACAGTGACCATGACCTGGTTGGCGATATCTGCGATACCAATAACGACGCGTAAGTCATGTCTGTTATGTATAATTTTTTTTCTGAGGTTTAACGTTCTTTTCAAATATATCATAATTGTATTGTTTCCCCAATTTAAAGAAACCGCAATACTTATCTCTCAAAAGATGAGATGCTAAGTTAGACTGGTACCAGGGAGTTTTAATACAGAATATGTTGCCTTTTGTTTTATGGGGCTTAGAGAAATCCAAACATTTTTTATATTTTTTTTAAAGAACCTTTTCTTCGTTCACTGTATACCGGGGTCGATCTGCTCTCTCGTTTTCCCAAAGCATAACATCCTACCTCCACCAAGGTAAAAGTTTACCTTAAGCTACGATGTAACTGTATCCGAAAGATTGATCACATTTTCAGTTGATTTTTTGTGTGTTCTGAACACCCCCCCCCCCTCCCCTCATGAAACAAGAAATAAGGGATACTGATGGGAGCTGAGGGAGATGGGGATATCTTAAAACATAATAGGACATTATCAACGCCTGTGTTGTAACTGCGTCCCTTGTTCGACATTCTACTGGTGATGAAGTCACCGTCAAATCTCATCCACAGACGAGGGCCAACATTCTAATTTTTTAAAACGAAGTCGTTTTAAACTGCCCCCCCCCCCCTCATCCCCACACCCCAGGCAAAATTTAGTTCAGTAAGGAAGCAGGCTGCTTCGACCCTGCATCCCAGGCTGACAGGATACAAGACCTCAACAGAAAGACGGAGATACTCGATAAAAAATCTCCCTTAACAACTCTACCTTAAACACCGGTTTAGATTTCTAAATAAAACACGATAAAAATAAATGGCAACTGATAGTACATTTATTACAAATGTACAATTTGCGCACTGTTCCATTGGGTATCGTCAAAGGTATAGGAATGATCAAGGGTTAACTCATTTAGGATGCTGCTTTCTGGTCATTCGACAACGTTTGAAGACGTGCTGTTCATCATCATAATTGCCTTTCTCACCCTGTTCCAAGGTATAGGCCACGAACAAAAACTTTCCACCATTCTCTATCCTGGGCTAGCCTCTTGAGTTGATTCCATGTCTTCCCATTTTTCTGTACATTGATTTCTGTGATTCTTCTCCAGGTTCCTCGCGGGAAGATGTGCTGTTAGGGCACTTTAAAAAAGAAGCATAACTTCATTATACATAGAGACATTATTTCATTCTCTTTTCATTACTTGTAATTTGAATAGGCAGGCTGGCGGGTGTTCTAGTGTGGTTCGTTCTTTCTTTTATATCAAACATCTATCATCCTTATCTCTCCTCCTTTTTTCCTAAGTTACTTTCTAGTAACACCTCTAATCTCGGCACTTTCATGATCCATTTGTGCTGCAAGTGCGATCTTACTAAAAAGAGTTTAAAATTATGAATTTATTCTCTCTCTTCGTGTCGTTCTCTTTGTCACAGGGACAGGGACGGTGTACAGGACAACTACGACAACTGCGCTCAGACAGCCAACGCTGACCAACAGGACACTGACAAAGACGGCCTAGGTTTGTTAATTACGTACGAATGGTTGTGTGAAAGCTATTTTAGAGAAATATCAGAAATCATTTTGCTACTAAGCTCACCCAAGCAGTACACTGTTCTATCAGCTCAGTACCTAGTTTCGAGAAATTTGACCCAAAAAAGTTTGTGTTTCACAACATGTAAAGCTTTTCGGATGCATTTCTTCGAATATCTTGATAACGACTCCGAATGATCTTACTATTTTGATAGAGCAAATAACGGTTTCTGACATCATGGTCTTAGTAATACAAAACGGCCAAAAATGTCAGATAGAACTTGATAATTCTGACGTAGCGAAATCTAGTTCGTAGGCTTTGAAGAAACACAAAGTGAGTGTGTGTATGTGTGTGTGTATGTATGTATGTATGTATGTATGTATGTATGTATGTATGTATGTATGTATGTGTGTGTACACGTGCGCACGTGTGTGTGTGTGTGTGTGTGTGTGTGCGTGTGTGTGTGTGTGTGTGAGTATGTGTGTGTGTGTGTGTGTGTGTGTGCAATCTATGGCATCCCAACGAAAATAATAAACTGTATAAGATCATTATTATACACCAAAGCAAGCTGACTCTGTCTTAGTTGAAGGACAACCATCTGCACCGTTTGAAGTAAATACTGGAGTTAGACAAGGTTGTATACTATGGTCTTTACTTTTTTTGGGAATTGTGGTAGATTTTTAATGACAAATGCAAAGACATTGAAACAGGCTTTGGAAGGGCAAATGGCACACATTTAGTAGATACAGAGAGAGGGAAAGAGATATATAGAGAAGGAAACAGGAAGAGTGTATCCTGTAAATGCTACATGTATTTTTAAAATGTATTTACGTGGGTATGTGTAAGACAGTGAGTGTGAGAGTGTTTGTGTGAGAGCGTATGTGTTACTGTTTTCTCATGGGCAAATGTATGTATACGCTTTCACCCACTGTCCTGGGTATGTTGTCATTTAAAAGTAAATTTATTATTTCCATCCTGTAGGCGATGTTTGTGACGACGATGACGATAACGATGGCATCCTGGATCCAATGGACAACTGCCCTCTGGTCATCAACCCAGACCAGCTCGATGAGAATGGTAATGTTGCAAATAGTATTATTATTTTCACCACAGGTGGGGAGCCTTACCATTGCAACTCAGACGCCAATGGTTGAAATTATGCATTATGCAGTGGGCAAGAGACAGATTCATATCTCGCTGTGT